CCCGAACTCGCGGCACGTCGAGAGCGCTAAGGCCATGTCTACCTCGAACCTCACGATCCTCTCCTTCTTCGCGGCGTCGACGCTCCGTCGATCGCCCCGAGGAGGGCGGGGAGGAGACGGTCGTGTACTCGTGAGAGAAGGCGGCGAACGCCGCGGCATTCGAACCGAAGGAGCAGACCCGCCTTCGCTTGCTCTCGTCGTTGCCTCCATTAACACAAAAAGCATGCCGCTCATTATTTTAATCCTGTACGTAGAGGAAATTCATAAACCCCCCCCCGTAGTTTTGAAGCATATGCTTCACGCGATAAGATTGAAGGTGTTTGGTTATTTGCTTGCAAGCAAGCCACATGCGATTAAATAAATAAATAAATAGGATGAGGAGGGACAAAGCTTAAGTGCTATAGCTCCCTCTCTACCTTGCTGCTGCTACTCGTGAGTCGAGGTGCCTGGAATGCGAAAGGAAGAAGCTTTGCGCCTTCCATTTAGCGAACGGGAGGGGGGGGGGGGGGGGGGGGGCGGGAAATAATGGTTGGGGGGCAAACAGCAAAGCTCACCCCTCGCCAACCGGCCATCGAGGCCCCAAAGGTGCTCACGCCTTTTCAAGCAGTCCTTTGACTTATGGGGAGCCAGCAATACACGCCACAAAAAACAATATTGAAAGGGCGGAGGGGAAAGATTTGGAGCCACCCTAACTAGACAATCTTCTTGAAGCCAAAAACACAAAGTTAAAATATATATACACACACATACGTACGTACACGCGCGCCCGCGGAGGGCAATGGTTAAAATGATGAGGCCGATAATGCATTTTTTTTTGTTTATCTTCGCGTATGTTTAGTTATGTATCTATTTTCCTGACTAATAAAATTTCCGTAGACATGCATCTTGGGTTGGTTACTAATTAACCCCAAAGGGCTAAACCAACCTTGGCTAGGGTTGCACATAAACAGGGGAGGGGGAGGCCCCCCCATCCCCAATGTGCCTTGGGCGAACAAAACCAGATGCTTCGTCTATAAACTGCAATCACGCATGACCTCCCCCCCCCCCCCAAAAAAAAAAACAACTCAAACCATTCCTCCCTCCCTAATAAACACCCCAAAGCCCACCCCCCCCATCCCCCCACCCCCAACCACCTCAAAAGTCTATGCTCACTTCCACTCGACCTCCCAACAGCCAACAGCGCTGTGCATGCGGTTCCCATCTTGACAAGTGTCTTATATGAGCCTTTGGCGACTAACTAACAGACACACATTTACTTTTTCTCCCATACAATCCAAATGATTAAGATAAATTGGCTCAGTTACCAAGACCCAAATCATTTTTTTTAACAAATTTTTACTGTAGACCCAAATGAACTTTTAATTACCAAAATCGACTGTTTTTTTTTAATTATCAAAATCGATCCGTTTTATGCCACGTAGGCTTAATCCCGTTTCCTAATTAGTCGGGGTTGCCAACCCCGACTGTTTAGGAGTTGTTAAACCCCAATTAGAAGCCTTAAAACCCGATTTGTAATATCCTAAACAGTCGGGGTTGACAACCCCGACTAATTAGGAAACGGGATTAAGCCTACGTGGCATAAAACGGGTCGATTTTGGTAATTAAAAAAAACGGTCGATTTTGGTAATTAAAAGCTCATTTGGGTCTACAGTGAAAATTTGTTCTTTTTTTTTTCCTCTTTTTTTGAGTGGAGGGCAAGTGGGTAGGAGAGATGCATAAAACCCACACAATCCTTACAGTTTTGAGGACAATGGGGAGATTGAAGGAGAAATTAAAGATCATGCTCAAAAAGACAAAGGATTCAAAGTGAGGTTCACGTAGCCTGGTACCGTGAATTTCATTCAAAAGTATGATTCTGATCACTGTTCATTGGTCTCCCTCCTATTTCCTTTGTCACGATTCAAAGAAAATACGAATATAATGGTGAATTCACACTGTTAACTCCCATCGAACAATTGTACACAATAATTAAGCATATCGTCAGCACTGTATTCTTTTATATAACCATTTGGGCATATTGAGTCACTGTCAACGGCCTACAATCATTGTACAATGCTGAATCAAATATACTAGTTAATATTGACATATACGTGCAAACATACCGCCAATAATGTGTTTTTTCGTGTAACCATTTGGGATTATTGAATTATTGTCAATGTCCTGCAATCATTGTACGCTGCTGTTAAATTTAATACACTAGTTAATATCAACACATACATGCAAACATTCAATATATAATCTAGAGCATGAATTCGATCACATTGTTTAGTTACAAATTAATTAATGTGGGTATTATGATGCCACGGATCTTATTACACGACAAATTATTAAGATGGATCTCCTGTAAATTTATGTTTAAGCAAATCTACTTTTATGCGAGGACAAAACAGAACATGTATTTAGCCAAGCTCAAAAAAAGAAAGTTTGATACAGAGAGGAGATCAGATGTTCGAATGACGCAAGTGCGAGAGTAACTAGAGGTGCTTATCCTGGAAATTCTTTTTCCATATTTAGCAATAGGCATCTTAGTGAACCGCGCTCAACTTATGTAGTAAGATCCTTGTTGAACAAGCCAAAAAAAGTAATTTAGAGGTCACAAAGAGGCAGATCGATAAAAAAACAGGAGACTAATGGTTTGAAGATTGGAAGATGCACGAAACATGCAGCAATTCTCGACTAAATTAGAAAAAAAAACAAATTAGATACGAACGGATGAGTCTCCTTGGATGGTATAAATTTAAATATCTATCAATCCCCAGCCGAAGAACATGGGATTCATTGTAGCATATCATTGTAGCTATGCTGGAGTTGGACCTATGTAGCTAATGCACTCACATGGAAACGCGTCGACATGCTTCATGTAGTACCTGCTGGAACAAAACTGCAGGTACTCAAATCATATGCATTATTCCATATAACTCTAGGATAGTTTTGCTGTAACTAATTTGATTGCTTCTCTGCTCTGTTTCAGTTACCCGAATAACTTACAAGAACCAGACACACATAATCCTCATACGAACAATTTATTTATCGAACTTCACAACCAACAAATCTCATCCTTCAGTTAATTACTCCCTTCATGTTTCAAATTTCAATTTTCTAGAGTTTTGTTATAAGCATAGAGTAGACTGGTCATGCACAACTTCTAAATACTTACAGTATTATGTATAAACTTAATTGCAAGAGGGGGAAAAAAAAGAAAGACCAACTTAGATGGAGGTAAAGGAAGGGAGAAGAGTTGAAGAGAGGAATGCAATTGTCAATAGATGGAGAAAAAAAAAGATAAACAGAGTTATTAGCGTTGGATATCAAGTGAGCGGTTTCATAGACAAAATTACATGAGGTTAATTGACCAAAGAGTTAAACAAGGGATCAACATTATTAAGACCCCTAATATTATGCGCAACTTACGGATGAACTACCAGGGATATTCAAGAGCAAGTTTCCATGATACATTTTGTTTTCTGGTTGTTTTGTGTCGGTTGAAAACTAAATTAAGCAAGGGGAAATAATAAAAAAGAACGATAGACAGAAAACATTGATTTAGAATTAACAGGAAAATTCAATGTGTGATTGAAAATTTAATTTCTGCAAGATGGATTGTGGTGTGGAATGTGTTAGATGCTTCAGGACGTTGTGATCTATAATTACGAAGATAAAGTTTCGCTAGTTTCAGACATGATAGCTTATATAATCTAATGAGTAACTTAGAAGTGATATTGACAATAACAGTCAGCGGGATCTATAAATAGAGAAGCCCAAGGCCCAAGAACAACTAGTAGTGCTAGCATTTTGGCAGTGGATTTCAGCCAACATCGAGTAGCTCTCGGTGGGTCCGTGCTTAGAGAGGAAAAGTTAAGGGAAAAGAAGTGAAGGGAAACTTGTAAAATCCAATCGCGATCGAGAGAGGCCCCATTTTTCAGTAGAAGATCACCATTACTTATATCGGTATCTAATTCTGGTGCGTCCTTAACGTCAATGAACCTTCCAGGTTCACTTTTGTGCAGTCTCGATCAAGTACCAGCGCCTTTCTGTCCAAGGAACTGAACAGTGGCTTTAGTTGTGCACATAAACACAATCACGGGGCTCTTGCTGCCTGCACGATAAAGTTAAAAAAAGACGTTATTATCCTGTTCGGTTCACGTTGCTATCCAATGCTGGCTACAGAAAATCAACGGTCTTTGACAAAAATTAGAATGCTAATTAGCACACACCTCTTTCTGATATCTGACGAGAAAATGTCAAAACTTTTCTTTACCTGAAATACCTCTTGCCAATTAATATTGTAACAACCTGCGTCGAATTCCTCGAGGTAAAATGGTGGGACAAGCCCCCCATCATGGAAAAATTAATAAAAATTGTAGAAGAAAAAGATAAGACTCATTCCTGTAAGTATAAGCAAAGATACAGCAACTCACACACAGTGCTGACGAAAGACACAGAGTAATAGCCTGCACAGGACGTTACCTTGTTCCTCTTCGATGCTTATAAAACTATGGTTACCAGATCATGCCAAACAGTAAATTGAATTCTAAGTCTCAACCTCAAAAAAAAAAAAAAATTCCAAGATTAATAACTCACTACACAAATTTTGAAATCTCATTAATAACTCGCTACACAAATTTTGAAATCTGGAGCTACCCCCGCGGGAGGTTACTTCTGCTGAAAAACAGCGGTATCCTTTTCTTATGATTGCAACAGCTGCTATACAAATCAAAAGAGACCACGATGAAAGGTTTACATCAGCGCAATTATACAGGCATACACCTGAGCTATTATAAGAAATGCAACATAGAACATTTACCACTTTCAAACACCACAGGTTTTTGTGTGGGTATGACGTAACTCCAACGTATCATAAAACATCACTGATATCCTCGTGAATTAGTAACAGTAAGAAAGAAAATATCAAAATTGGTTTCATCCGAAATATAAAGAATGCACCCTCCAGGAAAAAGAGACCAAAGAAAGGAACAAGCAGATGATGAACAAATTAGGTATAGAAAAAGATTGTTGATTCCTCATAAACAGCACAACAAAAACCATGTACCTTTCAGTAGATTTCAAACAATTTCGAAGGAAAAAAGATCTTTGCTAGAAAGGTCACTTTATGTAGCATACATATTAGAAGTGAAACAGGAACAGGGGAAAAAGAGGGGAAAAGGAAAAATGATATGGAGAATAGGTTTGCGTTGTTCGATCTACATCCCGCGCAGCCAGCGTTAAACTGAATAGGCTGTTTACCACAGCTCTCATGGACGAAGAAACATAATACTAAAAAATAATACAGAGGATTACTTCATGGAGCGGTACTACACTAGAAAAAACAACCAGTCTTCTTCCTCTTCTGCCACCCTTTTTGAGCAGCTCCCTTCAGCCCACATCAATGTCCATGTTTCACTTAATAGGATAAACTCTTTTAATACTTAGCTGTTTACACTGTGTAATGCTGCTGGATGGTGTCAATGTCAAGCCCCTTCAACTTCACCACTGATTCCACATGACCCTTAAGAGTGTGCAGCTCACGCAGCCTGACCAAAGAATACATTAATTAGCTACAAGAAAAATATTATGCGGAGAAACAGGGTAGTCTGAGGGATGACAAACCTTGCGACTTCGGCTCGCTTCTTGGCCTGCTCAGCAATCTCCGATAATTCCCTGTAGCTGTTCTTGTCAGAAAAGAGATTGTTGGTTTCAGGCGGTTGCAGCCCGTGAAGAGTCCTCTGTGCCATAGCCCATTGAGCTTCCCTTTCCTCTCTACCATAGTCCTTCTTGGTAGTGAAGGCAGTCTGTAGTTTTTAATGTAAATCAGTGTCAGAAAAGGATCATTAAGTGCAATTCACTGTGATTAAACAGAAGAGGGGTGAAAGAGTTTTACCTTGTTCTCTAGGAGGTTGTCCCATGCCTTTCCACTTAGGACGTATCGGATAGCGAATTTGAACCAGTCAAGAGGGAAGAAGAAAACAACACTGTATAGCCAGATAACTCCAGCCCATCCCCAGCCAATACCCTTGATACGTGCAAAACCCCAGTCGGCATACACAGCTATCAAAGTCGCAACCTGTCAAAATAAATTGATCAAGTCAGAGATCGATGATACACGAAATTTTACATTTTAAGACTCCCAAACTCCAGGCTATTAGAACTTACGCACGCTCAAAGTTGATTTGTCCAGATTGGTGGAAATGCATGTGTGAGGTGAAAATATATGGAAAGAAAGTGAGGGATATGAGTCTTACCAGCTGAGCAACGAGAAAAGCGGAGACCAACAAAAGTCCAGGTCGCTCGACAAAGAACCAGCCACGAGATCGAGTGACAAAGATGAGGGCCTGGCTCACAATACTGACTTGGAGGTATAAAGCGGCCATCATTTCATCCTCGCTATGCCTAATAGATCGCACACCAAATCTATCCTGCATAGACAAGACAACAGAACATGTTATTACTAGTTACTTCAATTAACAGAAACAAGTTCTTGATTGCAGAATATAGAGCACAGGAAACTGTAACTACTAATTACTTATAAGAAATGAACAAACATGACTCATAACAGAACAATATAAATCAAGTTAACATAAACTAGGGAATAAGATGCTTACAGAGAAGAAGTCAGTATCCTTCATTAACCAGAAGAAGACGACACTCATCAATGCCAGGTAACTTCCAAACACAACGCCAGTAGCAAAAATCTCTTTCAACTTCCAACTGTCGGGCATTGGCGATGGCTTCACTCTGTCCTTTGAAATTGTCATGATAGTACCTACATACCAAATCACAAGTTGGTAAGTCTGAAAGTACAAAATATCATGAATGAAACAAAAATAGAATGGTTCAAAATGCTTTTTTTTTATTTTTTTGAAAACTCACCATCATTGAGGATGGCAATAATTAGAACCATGAATGGTGAGAAATCAAATTTCCAGATCAGCGCAATAAGCATAAAACCAAGCTACAAAGATAAGAAGTGTTTAGTATTGACATTAGAACAGTAATGCACAAATTTAAGCAGAAACTGAGGATTCGGTTACTATAGAAGTACTTACAACAATACGAATGGTAATGGAGACAGCATAGATCTGTAGGTAGGAGAAAAAATCAGAATGGTCAGATAAAAATATGATGTGCATAAAAGAACTAGATGATTATAGCAAAGGTCTAGGTACTTACTGTGTAATTCTTCATCCTCTGGAAAATGGCTCTGCTGGTAAGAACAGCACTGATGATGACACTAAGCCCAGGCTCGGTGAGGACAATATCAGAAGCACCTCTAGCAGCATCTGTTGCATCAGCGACTGCAATTCCAATGTCAGCCTTCTTTAAGGCTGGGGCATCATTGACACCATCTCCAGTCATTCCACATATGTGCTTCTTCTCTTAAGGCTGGGGCATCATTGACACCATCTCCAGTCATTCCACATATGTGCTTCTTCTCTTGCAATCTCTTCACAATTTCATATTTGTGCTCTGTTTTCTCCAGTCATTCCACATATGTGCTTCTTCTCTTGCAATCTCTTCACAATTTCATATTTGTGCTCTGTTTTTTAAGAAGATTAAACACATTAGAATCCAAAGAGAAATGTACATATATTTTAAGAAAAATCCATACAACTAGGATTACACAGATCTCACCTGGGAAAACTCCAGCAAACCCGTCCGCCTTCTCAATCAGTTCATCAACAGGAAGAGCAGCTATTGAAGCATCTTTGTCTTGCCCAAGCAATGCAGAAGATGGATACATGTTTGTTCCCATTCCGAGCCTTCGGCCAGTCTCCTTGCCAATAGCAAGCTGATCACCTGTAAAGGATATGCATGTATTAGGAATTCAGAATTACATGATGAAGACGGACGATGACAACAGCTTGAAAATAAAAAGAGAAAGGTTACCAGTAATCATCTTGACATTCACACCAAGATTTAAAGCCCTGCGAATGGTTTCTGCACTGTCGTGCCTTGGGGGATCAAACAGTGGCAACAGACCGACAAATTGCCATGGTCCCCCAGGGCTATCTTTGTTCTTCTCAGGCACTTCCTGCAAGACAAAGTGAATTAGAGATGCTAGGAAGAAATAAATCACTGCAGGAAACCATCTCCTCAGATATTGCAACAAACCTGTCTTGCCACAGCCAATGATCGAAGCCCACGTTCAGCAAACTTCTCAATAACAGAGTGGACCTTGTTTTTAACATCTTCCTTGCAGTTGCAGAGGGCCACAATCTATTTACGGGCAAACCAAATGACAACAGTATCACACAAAAGCAATATTAATTTTCAAAATCTTACGGAATAATGAATTCAAACATATATATAGATAGAGATGTACCTGCTCTGGGGCACCCTTACTGGCACGATGCCAGTTTCCATCAGAGTCTATGTAGGTTAAAGCAGTACGTTTGTCAACTGGGTTGAAGGGAAGAAAATGTACTTCCCTGATACCAGCTCTAGCCTATTGAAACAGACACAAAGGACAATTAAGAATACATAAACCTGCAACTCAGTGAATAATATTAATAATCTCTGAAGAAAATAAACAAAATTTGAGAAGATATCCATACCTCTTTGGGATCAGCAAGCATCCCAACCATCGCTGCATCAATAGCATCCTGGTTCTCTGTTCTTGATGCTCTAGCAGCCAATAAGATAACATGTTCTTTATCGACACCTTTGGCAAACACCTCAATCAAGTTCTTATCCACACTCAGCTTGTTAAGCGTCAAGGTTCCGGTCTTATCACTGCAAAGCACGTCCATACCGGCCATCTCCTCTATGGCAGTCATCCGCTTGGTGATAGCACCTTGCTCTGATAGCCTGTGAGACCCAATAGCCATTGTCACTGATAAGACGGTGGGCATTGCAATTGGTATTCCTCCGATCAAGAGGACCAAGAGGTTATCAATCCCATCCCTGTAGTGCCTTTTCTGAATTGGGTACATGACAACGATCTCCACAACCATACCAATGGCAATGGAGCAGATACAGAAGTTACCAATGGCTGTGAGGACCTTCTGGAAATGACCAACTTGGTTAGTGCTGTCCACTAAGTGAGCAGCCTTTCCAAAGAAGGTGTGCACTCCGGTGGCAATGACAACAGCCTCAATCTCTCCCTGTTTACAGGTCGAACCAGAGAAAACCTCATCGCCAGGATTCTTGGTGACAGGAAGGGATTCACCAGTGAGAGCAGACTGATCGATCTTCAAGGGATCACCCTCAAGAAGACGGGCATCAGCAGGGACAATATCTCCCAACTTGATACTGATGAGATCTCCGGGCACCAGGATCGATGCATCTTGCTCACTCCAGCGGCCATCTCTGAGCACCTGTATTCACAAAATTAATTTAATTAATAACAACTTAATACCCAATTGAAGGGACAACATAAATTCTTCGATTGTACCTTGGTTTTGGGGGCAAGACCAGCCATCAGAGCAGCTGCAGCGTTACCAGCGTTGTTTTCTTCAATGAAACTGATAGTTGAGTTGATCACGAGCAACACAACAATACCAACGAAATCTTGCCAGTCCGGGGGCTTCCCGCCACCGTTGGCCAAGGCGATGGCCATAATAGCAGCCATCTCCATCACCCAAGACAGGGGATTCCACATAAACCCCAGAAATTTGAGGAATTTGCTTTCCTGTCATCACAACAACAGTCCAAGGTTTAAGCGTAAGTTCCCGAGGAAGGAGCATCTGACAGATAACTGAAATGGAAATCAATTTGTATGGAGGGAAAGGGGGCGGGGGAAAAACACCTTTTTCTCCTCGAGCTTGTTGGGTCCGAAGATCTGGAGCCTGTTGGCGCCTTCGTCGGATGACAGACCTTCCCTCGTACATTTCAACTGCTCAAACACTTCCTCAATCGGAATCCTCTCCTATACCAAATTACAACTGAAAAGTTAGTTTCTTTTGAATTAATAGCCTATAAACTTTTTCTATGAAATAATAACCTATCAACTTAATTCAAGTATTTTCCGACGACCCATAAAAATCAACCAAAAAGATATAACATATTAAATCTTTGGCTGGGCCATTTTCGTGCAGTTTTAACAAAAACAGAATCATTAAATTAACACCTTTTATCATCTATTATCTTATCTATTAATCTAATCTAAAGAAGGAATGATCAAAACATGAGCGTACTCATCAACAAACCTTTGAAAAGATTAAAAGCGATGAACAGAAAGAGAAACTGGCACGGCTGCACTAGGGCACAAAAATGGAAAATGATCAAGCATTTGATCTCAACCGTACAATCAGCGCGAGCCCTTTTTACTTTCTTTTATATATATTTTATTCCCTTAAAAGGACCCCATATACCAGTTATAACCGTCCGATTTAAGCATGGAAACAAAAGGGGGCCACCGCCGCCCACTGGCAACAGAATAAAATATAATTAGGAAAAGAATAATTTTTAGCCAGGGGTAATTTTGGGAGTTCCTAATTTCACAATTAAAGATTGGGCGCGATAACCTATGAGAGTCTCGAATGAGAGGTAGCACGGAGCCGTGTACGGCGGGCGTACCCGCGATCTGGAAACGGCAATGGGGCAGAGAGGGGACAAAAATTAACAGGTTAATTATTTTTTATTAGGAAAATTAACTAAATACAGCCAATAATACCCACCAACTTGATATCTGCAAATTTTACTTTATATCAATTATATTTTCGGTCAAACTGTTAACCGGTAAAAAAGGAACTTTTTTTTTATTTAAAAAAAATCCTCTTTTTACTCTATCCCTCGACGCAAACTGCAGCAAAGGAAGCGAATCGAAATCTCAACAGTTTGATCCTAACTTTTGAAGGAATAAAAGTAAAAATATCACAAAAACGAATCTAAAAGAGATCGGATCGCCTGTAAAGGGTTCTAACCTAATTAAGAGCTACAAACAATACAGATCTAGCAAAGATTTTATTCGCGTATAATCATTCCACAGAATCAATCGATCTAAAGAACCAGATCTTCGAACTGAAAGGAACAAAGATCTTGAGAGCAATTTAATGAAATAAACATGCATTCCTTGATCGTACTAAAATAAAATTCCACCAAATATTTCGGAGAAAAAAATTTACGATCTCGACTGAAGAAAAACAAAATAATTTAGGCAATGAATTCAAACGACTTCGGCCAGTGATCTAGAAAAAAAAATATTGAACTACAACACAGAAAAATTGAATCTAACACGCGCAAACCGCTAAAATAACCAGACGATCTAGTGAACGAAGGAACAGGAAATGGATGTATTTTTAGTTCTCACCAGATCGACGTTCTCATTCTTGATCTCCTCAAGGCTGATCCCGCCGGCCATCTCGTCTCCGCCGCCGCTGTGGCCGACTCTCGACTCCGATCAAACCCTAAGAAACCCTAACCCTAGATTTCTCAATCGACGATGACGAAAGAAAAATTGAAAGAAAATAGAACAGAATCTAGAGAGAGAGAGAGAGAGAGGAAAAAAAAGGAGAGGAGATCAGCGAAGATATCACGGACTACGCTGAGAGTGCGAAGGAGACCCCTACGCCCCTCCGCTGATTTATACCCAACTCGGTGGGGGCCCACGGCCAGCTTGAAGGGAAGGGTTCACCTGCTGACGTGTCGGTTCTGCAGGTGGATCCCCCCTCCCCTCCTCGGTCGGCGCA